GCTTGTCCGTAGAAGGAAGAGGTTTGCGGTTGGTAAACCTGATATTGCGGCTGGGGCGTAGCAGCTGAGGTTGCATAGGTGACCGTAGGATGTGAAATGGTCTGATCAACTGGTTGTACAGCAGAACTGTAAGCGCCAGCTCCCGCCTGATACTGACCACCAGCCAATGGGTAAGAAGTCAATTGGTACTCGATCTGTGAAGGAATCGACTGTTGTGCTGCGCTAGCCTGATAGGTTGGCGCAGCAGCAGATGCGTAACTGGATAGCTGATAAGTGGGTTGTGCCTGCACGGCTTGCTGTCCAGCACCGGTTTGATATGAGGTCGCTGTAGCTGATGGATATGCTGACAACTGATACTCAGCCTGAGATTGGGCTGATGGCTGTTGTCCGAGTTCACCAGGTAGTTGAATGCCGTAGGCGTTCCGTAGAAGCTCCAGATATTGACTGTATTTGACGAGGTTTTGCTGATCGACCTGGAAAATGGATAATTATAAGTGATGAAAATCTTGATTGGCTGATTCCGACTGTGGTTGGCTGCAGAATAGCTTGTATCGGACAAGCTTCTTTCTTAAAGTGTGCCCCGATTCCTCCATTGGTCAGAAATAGAGGAAGTAAATATTTGAAGCCGGTAATTCGCCTATAGAACGACTCGTGGGGTTTAGTGGTGCAACTTTGTGGTGTGGTGCTAGACATCTACCAAAGGCATGAAAGCAGTTAATGGTCAGCGTTAACTTGAGATGAATTGAACGGGAGCCAAAAAGAGTAAAGTACCAGTTGGTAACAGTAAAAGTGAAGGCACAGGAAGTGTACATAGATGGAAAGATTGGTAGATGAAGGATTATTCAAGCAGAAAGTAGGTAACTGACGGGGAAAAAGGGGTGAATTCCAATTAAGGCACTCCAATGAATCGGGATAAGGTCAACCACGAAGGAAAGCTTGAGTGCCAAGTTGGCTTCCATAAGGATTCTCGCTGAATTGCCTGCTTACACCGCAGAGCCAATCACTGCTACTGATTTTGTTCAGAATTAGTACCCAATAAATCAACCAAAATTGAATAATTGGCAGGAAAAAACGCATAAGCAGAACATTCCGTGCAGTCTAGCTTACCTGTGCATTCACAGGTGGTGCAGTGGCAACAAATTGCTGAGCGAACTGTGCCGCATTTGTGGCATAAGCAGACGCTGTGGCCGTGGCGGCTGAGGAGGGATTTGCAAAAAGATGTGAAAAGTCAAAATTATATGGTTGATGGTAGGAGGAGGCTACTGGTGGAGATCTATACGAATGCAGCTTCAGTTGAGTTGCGGATGGTGTATTGGATAATGTCTCGAAGGTGAATGATGTCGGAAGACTTTGACCGTTCCATGGAAGAGCTGTTCGGGCTCCTAAAATCAAATGATCTCCTTTTCAGTTGTTTAGTTGCGAAATAGTATTTCATTTGGATAAGGGAAGTAGATAGGCAGCTGGCGTGCCTTAAAACTCTTTTGATTTAAAGGCGGATCTGCTACTAATTAATATTCACTCCTTATCTAAATAAGTATAATTTCTGATGAGTTTCTGAGGCTACGCTCGGTGTTGACCTCGGGTCTTGTGTAAATGCGTGGCTATATTGGGCTGTATGAAGGAAACTTAGGTTTTTTCCTGATTAATCTAATTCATTCCATTTGGAACCATGAATTCTCATTTGCAAACATAGCTACAGTCTTAGACTATCTTGGGATGTTTTATTGTCTCAGGAAACTTGCAAGACTGGTTCATAAGCTGTATTGTCAATGCAACAGTTTTTCTTGTCAATAGAAAAACAATTAATTCAAGGAAAACTGAACAGCGACTGAATAGGATTTTTGAAACCATCCGACCCGTCTATGGATTTGAACCAATGCAAATATTGATATCCTCTTACGTATCGTGCGTGCTTTGAAGAGGATCGAACGATTAAGCCGGCGTGAATGAGACTTTGAGATCTTTGCCCATCTTATGGGATACCTTTTTCGTCCAAATTTACAGATTCGTAGGCTATTTATAGGGGATAAAGGCGATAAGCTTCAGGATGCTTGTGAACCTCATTTTGGTATCCGCCAAGAACTCTTCTAATGGCGGAAGGGGAAGTCGTTGTGGCGTTTGTGGCAGCAGGATCGTAATTACTACTGGTAAATAAACACTAAAAGATAAGAGTGCTAGTATCGTGTAATGGCAACTAAATGAACGATTAAAATTAATTAATTTAGAGTTTTAAATGGCTTTTTGTAAAAATCTTTTTCCAAGGCCGTAATTATATTTGTTATGGGGGCACTGATAGAGCAATCACTTTATTATTTTGCTGTACTCTAAAGCGATTATGTAAATATGTATGTGGTAATCAATAAAAATAATCAAAAATCGGTATAATGTAAACGATCATGTATTACAAATGAAGATCCAGAAATATATTTGTGTCCAAAAGACTTCACAGCGTTTAAGAAGATGACCTATCATAAAAAGCGTGAAAGACAAGTAGATTCAGAGAGCTGCTTGATGAGGCTGAACAAAATGTCTACTGTTACTTAAGCATTCGTTCGTAACTATTTTTGTTTTTGAATGATCAGTTTTTTCGCTGTTTCCTTGGTTTTTCCTTTCACTCTTCTTACTTCGTCTCGCCCTAGCTAAAACAAAAAGTCAACTAATCGTTTGGCTAATGCTGGGATTTTTTTCGCAGGACTACTCCAAACAGGCTTCTCAATTGTTTACCTCTTGAGGTGGGATAGGCATAGCAGGTGGAAATCTTCAGTGTCCAAAACATCTACAGTAAACTTGTAAACAAATGAATGGATTCGTAGAACAATACTTTAAATGAGCTCATATGTTTGAGAATATGCGAAGGAAAATAATAGAAAGAAGCATGAGAGATCTTTAATTTTTATCTCCAAATAAAATGTATTATATATGCGTTATCCATCATTACTTACAAGTAAGAGCCACTAATGAGTTCCGAAGATAATATTATTATAGCTACCGTACCTTACAATATAAATCGTACTACAATAATGTTCGAAAATTACTGTAAACGAGTGTTCTTGAAATATTCGAAAGATTGCTGATTACGGTATTCGTCAAAGGTCTACCATAATCGATAAGAGTAGCATTCCACCCTTTATGCTTTGTTTAGGTCCAAAGCAACTTTTCAAGTATATGTTTTCGAAATCTCAAAGCCTTCAATCAACAAGATATCGGGATAGAACTTAGGAGTAGCAGCATTCTGCAAACATACATATTATGTTAAATATACAAGTAGAACACACAAAATATAACAAGCATAAAATGAACACGAAATAATGGTATATAAGTTACTTGTAGGTGAAATATTGGAATATACTGCATGAACGAAGAGGTTTTGAATTGGAATTCATGCCAAAGTCACTCATCAACTGCTCTAAAAATGTTACTTACCTGTGATGAGCGCTAAAAACACTAAAATAAGCGTTTGCATAGTGCGTGGCGCAAGAATAGTGGCGACAATAGGGTGGAAGTGGTTATAGCGCTGGTAGAGGTGACGGTGGTGGATGTGTCCGAAGCTGGACGGGGCAGCCGATGGCGACTTGACGGCGGGGAAGGGGGCGGACGAGCTCCCCGAAATAAAGAGGGGAACACACACACAAATGCTTTGCGAAACCTGAGACATACGATTTGAAGGTTCGTTCAACAAAAGACTGAAACAGAACATTTTGAACGCACACATACACACACCGGCACCCGGCATCCAGGATTCCTTCAGCCGGCACTAGCGAAGATTCATCGGGGCTTATGCATTGGCCTATGTCTCTACAGTATCTCTGCAACCTACTGATTGCTTTATTTTTGGCAAGGGCTAGGGAAACAGAATCTCCAAACATTCTCCAAAACTATTGACCCTGGTTTTTCTTTTTTCCAGAGTTTCAGATTCATTTGAAAACTATGGATGTCAACGTTACTAACTAAAAATGGAGAGAGGTTTTCGCTGTGTTGTGGTCAAAAAACAATTGACTTATAGCAATAATTGAACATATAAGTACATTATTCAGTCTTCTGGCAATGTTAATTACGGTACTTCACACGTTATGTAAAATTTATTACAGTAAAAAGTCTGTAGGGTTCTAAAAAATATTAGGAAAGAATTGATAATGGTGGAATAGGGCTCAGATCTTGGAAGAAAAAAAGAAAGGGTAGAGATTGGAAAAGTATTGGTCGGAGCGCTTGGATTAAGCCATACGGTCTATTTCATAATTGTTGAATTAATTCTCAGTAATCATCTAACCCTCAAACCCACGGTGCATCCTGGGAAAGCTGAAGAAGCCTCACCAGGTAAAA